AACATGTAAAAATTTCAAGACAATAAAACCATCGCAGACCTGTGTTATCATATACCAATGATGGAAATATCATAACTATATCCCGACTATGGAGCATAAGCAATGTATTAATGTCCAAAATTTGTCCTGTAGAGCAAGGATTTGCTGACCACTCCATCCAAGTTGGCCTCCCAGTGGAACAGCGGTATGTCTGCGGACTTACAACGCTAGAAATCGGGTTTCGATACCCATGGTGGGCGGAGCACAGATAGCCCATCGTGTAGCTTTGTGCTTAATTGCAAACAGACAAACAACCCATCTAAGTTGACCTTTAATTCTAAAGAATAAAATTTTATTTCGTTTCAAGTTTTATTCAGAAAATAACAAAACTTTGCGGCTTCATCAGGATTAGTATTACAGTAACTACTTGAGTTAGTTCTTAAAATGATAGTAGTGATGAAGCCATAAGGGCGAAAAGTTGACCTAGAGAGTGAAGACCGTATTTGTTATCTAACCTTATTGCCAAAATGTTTAAGTCCCTGGGCCTGGTTCGCGGGTTCGAATTTCCATCATTGAACATGCTCACCCTTTCAGCCGTGGGGGCATTATAATGTTACGGTCAATCCCACTAATCGTTGTTAAAAGAGTAGCCCAAGAGTTGGTGATAGGTGGTGATGCCTTTCCTCTAGTTTTACACTGCTAAATTAGCCCTCGTGTAGCTTTGCGCGAAATTCAAAACAAACAATAAGAACACTTATCATTTCCATTAAGTCATAGTCACAATGCCAATATTTGACCAAATGATGATCAGTGAGTTATTGGTTTTTAAAGCCGTTTACCAAAGTCCTAAGGGTCGGATGTGGCCAAGTGTTTAGTGTGTTGCGATATGGATTATAAGGGTTTATGACAAATATGTTACCACTTAACATTATCTCGAAACCTTTAGGTGTGAGCGCATTATAAAAGTGACAATCATTTCCGTTATTCTATTTAAAGAGCAGAGAAAAAAGTCCTTATGGTTGCAGGTGCTGCTGCCCTCTTTATAATTATTAATTCAAAATTAGATACAACTACACCTGAAGCCTAGGGGCCTATTACCTGACTGTTTAGTGCACGCGCGCTTAAAGGTGCCGCTCAGGATGAAAACTACAATTCCAAAGTCCTGGTCTATTTCTCTCGAACAAAGTCAAAACCTAGCGGGGTACGGTAATTAATAAAGTCAAACCCTAGCTGGGTAAGGTAATTAATAAAGTCAAAACCTAGCTGGGTAAGGTAATTAACAAAGTCAAAACGTAGCAGGGTAAGGTCATTAACAAAGTCAAAACCTAGCTGGGTAAGGTAATTAATAAAGTCAAAACCTAGCGGGGTAAGATAATTAACAAAGTCAAAACCTAGCGGGGAAAGATAATTAACAAAGTCAAAACCTAGCGGGGTAAGATAATTAACAAAGTCAAAACCTAGCGGGGTAAGGTAATTAACAAAGTCAAAACGTAGCAGGGTAAGGTAATTAACAAAGTCAAACCTAGCAGGGTAAGGTAATTAACAAAGTCAAAACGTAGCTGGGTAAGATAATTTTGTTAATTACCTTACCCAGCTAGGTTTTGACTTTATTAATGACCTTACCCTGCTACGTTTTGACTTTGTTAATTACCTTACCCCGCTAGGTTTTGACTTTGTTAATTACCTTACCCAGCTACGTTTTGACTTTGTTAAGTCAAAACCTAGCGGAGTAAGGTAATTAACAAAGTCAAAACCTAGCTGGGTAAGGTAATTAACAAAGTCAAACGTAGCTGGGTGAGGTAATTAATAAAGTCAAAACCTAGAGGGGTAAGGTAATTAATAAAGTCAAAACCTAGCTGGGTAAGATAATTAACAAAGTCAAAACGTAGTAGGGTAAGGTAATTAACAAAGTCAAACGTAGCTGGGTGAGGTAATTAATAAAGTCAAAACCTAGAGGGGTAAGGTAATTAATAAAGTCAAAACCTAGCTGAGTAAGATAATTAACAAAGTCAAAACCTAGCGGGGTAAGGTAATTAATAAAGTCAAAACGTAGCAGGGTAAGGTAATTAACAAAGTCAAAACCTAGCTGGGTAAGGTAATTAACAAAGTCAAAACCTAGTTGGGTAAGGTAATAGGTCAGAGCAGAACTCCTCATCAGAAAGAAAGGATATAGGTTTTATTCTACGTTCTTTTATTTTCAGAAATATTTACATTAAAATATTAACTATTTGTACACACTATTAAGTGGGTTAAACTAAAATCCCGAACTCATCTATAATTAGAGATTGTATATATATAATTCTGTAGAATATAAAAGTTGTATAATATGTTTCAGTGCAGTGTAGGTTTAAAACTGACAATTGTAATTTGACCACCGTGTGGCTTTAAAACGAAACTAACAAGCCACTTTCTTCTCATAGCTGAGAGTTAGTTTATCAAGACATTATTCCATTGAAAATATAACAAAGTTTACATGAAATATCTGATGATGACAAGTTAACTCTTCAGTTAAGTAAAACGAAACTAACAAGCCGCTTTCTTCTCATAGCTGAGAGTTAGTTTATCAAGACATTATTCCATTGAAAATATAACAAAGTTTACATGAAATATCTGATGATGACAAGTTAACTCTTCAGTTAAATAAAACGAGAATTAACATGAATCATCTGATGTTCACAACATAACTTTTCAATTAAGTAAAACGAGAGTTTACATGAAATATCCGATGATGACAAGTTAACTCTTCAGTTAAGTAAAACGAGAATTAACATGAATCATCTGATGTTCACAACATAACTTTTCAATTAAGTAAAACGAGAGTTTACATGAAATATCTGATGATGACAAGTTAACTCTTCAGTTAAGTAAAACGAGAATTAACATGAAGCATCTGATGTTCACAACATAACTCTTCAGTTAAGTAAAACGAGAGTTAACGTTAACATGAAATATCTGATGATGACAAGTTAACTCTTGAATCAAGTTAAAGAAGAATTAACATGAAACATTGATAATTAAAAGTTAATTCGTTGAAACATTGTGTTTTATACGTTCCTCACTGTTATTCACGTTTTTTTAGCTGTTTTCAATCAAGATTGAAATGAAATATCTGAAAGTGAATAATAAAAGGTTTAATTTAATTTTATATGTTATTACATTGCCGAAGAAGGTTTTGACAAAAATATTTTATGATGAACGACTGAAATTGAAAACCACTTTGAATATTATACTATCTACTATACATCATAAGTCGTAGGAAATAATATATAATGCAAGTTTTCTTCTGAATAATTAATTGGATATCCCCATATCGTTAGGATGTTACCCCACTGACTTCTTGATCGGGTCTTAGCAATAGCCCTCTAGATTGGCCCCCTCAGTGGCACAGCGGTATCTCTGCTAGAATCCGGGTTTCGATACCCGTGGTGGCAGAGCACATATAGCCCATTGTGTAGCTTTGTGCTTAATTACAGACAAACAAACAAACACATCTCTAGATTGATTTGTTATCGTCATGCTATGCTGTGTACGATATTAACTACAATGATATTTGGAATACTTATATTAATCTAATTATTGATTATTTAGTTCATTTCTCGCGTGTATGATTTTGAACAACAGTATCTTCATTTTTTCCAATACATGTGTATGTTTTGAATCTGTAAATATTTGAAATATACACCCTGTGTTAATGGATACTGTATGTAGTTGTTTTTTTCGGTTTTTAAAGTGTCTTTTTTTTCTATTGGCGAGTCCATCAGTATTTTTTAAGAATGTTTGATCGATTGATTGATTATTTCACAAAACACGGTGTTAATTTGTACACATTCTTGTGGTTTCACAAAATTGTCGACTCTCGCTGTTAAATTCTAACGCCATTCAGTAACTCCAAGTTTCTACTGATTAATTAAAATCTTTCCAGAGTTTAGATTTGTTTAATTAAAGGTTTCTATTACACTATTTATCTTAGGAACAATTGTATGAATGACTGTGATTTATTACAGCGAGTGTATCCGCCAGCTCCGTGAAATGGGTTTCACGGCATTACAGTTCTTTGGACGCTGTTCACTGTTCTGCCTGCTTTGGGTAGTAACCAACTACATGTTTGTCTGCTCTCTTCGTATCCTGGATACTACTGATGTCATAGCTTTGTTCTCGTCTAATGTATCTTTTATCTACCTTCTCTCCTGGGTAGTCCTTCATCAACAGTTTGTAGGAATAAGAGTAAGTGGGTTAAAGATAAACTTTAATTATTCAAAGAACTTGGATGAAAAACACACACACACAAAACACGTTAGATTGTGCCTTATTTGAAATTAATTGTTTTTGTTTTGTGTGAATTACTCTTGCAATACGCCAAGTTGATAAATATTTTAAAAATAACATCAAATGTTATAATTGAAAGAGCACAAATACATTTCACCTTTTTTTTTTTTCGACTGGTTGGTTTACCTCTCGGTGTGACATGAACAATACAGAATACAGAAAATATGTAAAGAGTTTGGGTACATTATACCAAAATGATTTTTGAGATTCACCACGTCGTTACAGTCCATGTCACAAAGTCCGGTTACGCTTTATCTGATAACAGTGCATTTTGACAATACCCCTGCAGCGTAGTTTTCATTCTAAAAGGCTCCTTTGTAAGGTCGTTAGTAGAAAGTACACTATTTCTCCCTGCAAGCTTTCTATAATCAATCTAATGTAAGAGAACGATGGTTTTCCAGAACCAGTTTCAACAGCCTCACCACACAGAAATTCATAGGTTCCGAGTCTGGCGATTTGGCCGGTATGTATTCTTAGGAAATAGCATTGATACCGGTTTCATTCTCCAGCTGCTTGAGGTGAGCAACGGTTGCAGATATATGTTGTGGAAACAAACTGTGTGCGCGTGACTTGTGTCACTTATCTAAATACAGATACTTCTTGATTATGCTGCATACTATTGCCTGTAACACGTGGACATCTATAGCTATTGACTTTTGTGTTCAAGGTTTTTCACCTGTTAGAAAACGTTGCAGCTTGCTAGCCATGGCTTAGACATGACTTGTTGCAGGTCTCTTTCTGGATGATCCAGGTATCCTAAGTTAAACCATATTTCTTTGTTTTCCAATGATATTATGTATAAGAGATATCCTCGTCTTGAAAATTCTAAATTCCACACCTGATTACATCTTTATGATCTGTGTGTGTGATTATTTTTACATCAGAAAAAGTTGTTACATACCCCTCCAAAAATCATCAGTTTTCGGTTTCATTTCACTAACTGCGGAACGATAAAAAATGTAAAAGAGTAATTCTGATACAGGCCGTTCCAATGCAATTTTATATCATTTGTCTTTGTCATATGATTTGCTGATTTATATTTGCAAAATTGGATTTCTGTGTGATCAGACTGTTGATATACGCGCTGTAAAACCCTGACCCAGTACAGTAGATGGATTATAGAAAGCTTGAAGGGAGAAGTCGTTTCCAATAGAAACTATGTTGCAGAGCTGTTGTCAAGATGCATGGCCATCAGGTAGAATACGACTGAACATGGCGACATGAACTACAACGACGTGGTGAGACTCCAAGATCGTTTTAATATAATATACTAATTCCTCTGTATTAATCATATAAATACGTTATTTGTTCTGAGAGGACAAATATGTCTGCAACGGGAAAAAAAACAGACTCATAAACAGAATTTTGAAATCTTATATCTTCGTAGTTAATTTAAGAGCTTATATTATCAACAGTTACCTAATGGAAAACAAAAACCTCAAAATCGTTAAAAGATGTTAACTTACACTACAATGGTGTTATATTGTGTATTAAATAAATGAGCATTATGTAATTTTTTGGCTAAAGGTGAAAGTTTTATCATTATTGGGACAAGTTTCTGATCTGGGTTTTTTTTTTCTGAGAGCATGCTTAACAATATGATTCTTTATCTAGTGATCCAGCGATGGCTTGTTAATTCGTAGTAAAACATTTAGAGTAAAACCGTTTTGGTGTTAAATAAAACAATTCTAAGTTCAGTCCTGCATATTTGATCGTTTAGAAGGCGTCTTACAATGTACGAAAAATGTTTTTCTTGAATAATTCGAGGTCGGTTTCATTGAGTACTTGGAAGCTTCGTAAATAGTTTTCTAAGTCCCCTAGTTAGGATTTTATAAATTCGTAATTATGTATATATATACTTTTTTTTCATCAATGATTCTCAAATAATAATATATTTCTTGAATTAGGTTAAACATTCAGCCTTAGTAAATCAAACCGTGAACTTGAAGGGTGTTGGGGCAAAGATTAGTTGTTGTGTTTGTCTGTCTGTGAATAAACTCCATATTTGCATAAGTAGTCAGCTTATTTTGCTAACTGTAAGCCACACGCAATCCGCTCTAACGAATGGAATATTCTAAACAATCCACATATATATCATAAGAAACGTCAGCTACTAATGCAGATTTGAATATATTTCTATTGTATTGGTTTAAACTGTAATATAAATTTTGGCATGTTTCTGATCTTTTATTACAGTAATATCAAAGTAATATTGATTTGTGACAACTTTTCATGTGACGAGCACAGAAAAATCGTTTTATTAAGTATATGAAAATATTTTATAAAACTGTCTTCTCATAACATGGAGGTAATGCTTTAACAATACTTTTATTACTATGTATGAACTACAATTAAAGTTTCTAGTTTTGGCGAAAACATACTATTTTGATAAATAATAAAAGTAGTAATGTATATATACGAAAGGTGGCGTCTTACAGCGTTTTCCATTTAATTACCAAAAAGGATGGAAAACTTTTCAAATTAGAACTGGTAATTTCTAATTTTCCTTAAGAATCTATAATTTTACTTTATAGAAGTATAAAAATGATTTTATTTGATAGAAATATAACAATGTGGGTAATTCTATTCAATTTAAATTATGAAGTTTCTAAAGAAGGTAAGAAACTAAATCTTTCCATAATATAGATTTTTTTAATTTTTGCATAAGCAAGTTCTAAGTATTAAAAAATATTATGATTATAGATTGTTGCAGTAATCTTGTGTAACACCGGAATCGCCCTTTTGGCATATATGGATGGAGTTCCCGAAACTCCAACGCTAGGGGGAGTTGTTTTAGCTTCTACTGCTGCAGCAGGATCAGCTGTGTACAAAGTGAGTTCTCTATTTTTTATTTATTTAATTGTAATGAAAAATAAAATTACTGTAGTAATACTAGTCTCTGGTTACGTGACTTAAACATTTCTAAACGCAGAATAAAGAAATGTAACTTAACGCAGGTGAAGAAGACAGATAACACCCATCGCCAACGCTTAAGCAACTCTTGTCAGATCGAATAGGGTAATTTGACTGTCACACTTATAACGCCCCCACAATCCCAAAGTGCTGATTGTTGTTTACCACAATTCGGGTACTCTAACTGCTAGGCCACACCTAATTCCATTAAACAAGTAAAAGACAAGAACTTTTTAATAAAAAAATAATATAACACCTTTTTAACTAGTTTCTATTAACGTATTAATAATAACCAGGCTTCTTATGCACCTTTAAATACCAATAATATAGAATATTGTTGTGGTTAAATTATATTAGAAACATCTTTATAAAACTTAGGAATGCTTTGAAAGATGTTAGCTTCATATGCTCATTAAGCTACGTGTAGCTCTAGTGCAGCGTATTGGTAAGAGCGCTCCGTATAATCAGGTTTGGAATAAGAAATTCCGTAAGGGATTCTTTCAGAGACTGCTGTAAGATCGGTATAACGTGTCATGAATTTTACATTCAGGATGCTTGATGATTATTCCCAGATGTCACAGTTCGTTCTACTTTGATGGGTTGTTAAAGTAGAGAAACACGTGGCTTTTCTTATAATTTGTTTTGTTTTTTTG